TGGTAAAACCCTGTCTCTACTAAAAATACAAAAATTAGCCGGGTGTGGTGGCGGGTGCCTGTAATTCCAGCTACTCAGGAGGCTGAGACAGGAGAATCGCTTGAACCCGGGAGGTGGAGGTTGCAGTGAGCCAAGATAGCGCCATTGTGCTCCAGCCTGGGTGACAAGACTGAAACTTCATCTCAAAACAAAACAAAACAAATAAAACCTAAAATTTTTAAAAAAGTTCTTGCATTCTACAGTTGGTCATATTCTCACTTTATGAGCTGATTTTTCAGCTTTCGCAGTTTGAAGATGACTTTGGTGATTGTTAAAGGAAAAAGAAAAAAACCAATTTCTTGTAAGTCGCTAGCTGCAGGGTTTGGGGAGTTCTGGGCGCATCAGGGGGACATTCCTCGGTGAGAATAGCACTCAAGTCATCTGTCTCGTGATATTGTCCCTGTTCAGCTTTATAACTCATAGCTCCACACACGTTCCAGATGGTGCCTTGTGTTGGATGACCCTGGATGCTGTCTCATCTGGCATTGCTAGCTATCTCCTGCTGGCTGCAGGCCTGTGGACCATACCCTGCCCCAGCTTGCACTAGGGGATCCTGGGCGAGGCGTGTTGACCTCATCCCCCAGGACCTAAAAGCCTAAGAGTATTTTTACTTTCAAAGTCTTGCATTTCCGTCATCTTATCTCATGCTCAACACAAGTGAGGGAGGGAGGGAGGACTGCCGTGACTGCCCCCATTTGACAGATAGGGAAACCGAGGCAGGAGGGTTTAGGTGGCTTGTCCACAGTTTACAGTCTGTTGGTGTCAGTGTGAGGGCTTCCGGCTGGGTCTCCTGGCTATGACTTTGTACTGTCTCTACAGGGTCCTAAACGGCACTGGCAAAGAACACTGAGGCAAGAACTCACTGAGTTGGAATTCTTTTTAAGGTTGTCTTCACCTTTCCTCTGGTGCAGAATATCCTCCAGCAAACAGCAGAGCGGGCCTTGTAAAATGTAAATCAGATCGTGCACTGCTCTGCTCTGAACCCCTCCACGGTTCCTGTCTCACCCAGAG